AAGTCGTTATTGGTAACATTAATTTCATTTTTATACATATCTACGTACGTATAAAATTGATTGCAAAATATAAAATTTAGTTAAGCTACACTTGGCAGCAAAGGTCTGCGTACACCATTTCTTTTTTAAATATTCACAATATATTGAGAGTTAAAATTTGTTATTATTTAAATGGTCATGCTTAAAATAAAATCATATAAACCATGCTTTAAAACTTTATACAAAGCAAAGTTAAATTTAACGATCTTTCATCAAAATGTTTGACCTTTTAGTCAGATTTAAAAAATTAAACAAAAGTGGTAAACAATCTCACTTTGAAATGGGAGTGCTATTGATATGAACGATACGTAAATGTATCACTAAGCACCCGAAATGTGGACTTATGCAGTGATATTTTTTTTTAATTTCCAATGTTTTTCATTTTAAATATTTTTCGTTTAGTTTTTATTTAAGTACTATGTCTCATACTCCATAAACCATTTAAATTCAAATTCCTAACCGTGCTGCAAACTTGATAGAACTCTTCAAACTGTCTTCAAAATTTAAAATTTTTAATCAGAGATATTTTTTATAAATATTTCGAGTATTCTGCTTTGTAGCCCATAAAATTTTAGTGTAGTAAAGTGTAATCTTGCATCTTAAACGAAAATATTTAAACATGAGAATGCCTTCAAGAGCGTGCGTAAAAAGAGTTATAAAAAATCAGCGCGATTAATTATACTAAAATTTAATGGGCTATAGAACTGCATACTTATAAACTCTGATTTAAAATATTGAAGTTTTTATAACAGTATCTAGAATTCTACTAAATTTCCATCACAGTTAGAAACGTGAATTTATTTGTTTATGTTATAATACTTATGAGCCATCCTTAAATAAAAAATTTACGAAAAACATTTAGCATGGAAACTATTGTGAATATTCAAAATTCTATATTTCTTATTAGATGCCGGAAAGTCTATGTATTACATTTCAATAAATTTAATGCAATTTAACACTGAGTTATCACAAATAAGCATTCAATATATCACAGTTTTTCTCATTTTTTTTACACGACTTAGTTCAGATTTTTAGTTATAGGTATCCCAGAAATACCCATTATACGTAACAAATATAAATTATTTTTAAGAATAACGGTTTTAGAAAATAAAGGAATAATTGACACTTTATGTTCCTAATTTTAAAGCACAGTTTGCCTCAAAAAGTAAATTAGTGCAAAACAAATAGCTCTTTAAACATAAAATGAAGTATTTTTATTTACAAAATTGTATGCGTGCTTATTTAAAGAAAATGCTCTATACTATACTTATTAGAACCAGCTCAAAACTAACCACATTTTTTCTAGCCCAGAGGTGACCCTTTTTGAACTATCTAAGAACTGTCGTTATATGAACTGTCTCAGAACCATCTAAGCCAGAGTCAGCTCAGAACAAGTTCAAAAGTTCTGCAGAGGGTGACAATTGTCACTTCGTAGGACATCGCCATGTTAAAAAAGACAGTTGAAAGCATTGAGTTGGGATAGATGAAGAACCAGTACCGTCCCTTTTCAGGCTAGCTCAGCGCAAGTTCTGAACCAGTTTGATTTGCTGCAGGGTATGTACAATATTGTATGTATGTACGATGCTGTATGTTATTGTATCGTAGCGGATGCTACGTTACAATGCTTAATGTGATCTAGTTTTTTTCATTTATGTAAGAGACGAATTTTTAAACTAACTGTTCCTTACGTTTTTATACATACATACTGTAAAAGTGTTAAGGCTTGTAATTTATCTATTGACGATTTAACTATAGTTTAAAATAGATAAGTTTACTGCCTTTAAAATGCTTAATTTGTTAAATGGTGTGATTGTATCAGCTGCTGGTGTCGTGAGTGGTGAAATTAGCTCAATTTTCTAAGTAAAAAGTGTTTAGGCGGAAATTTCTTGCACAATATGAGTCAAAGCCGTGTTTGTGGAAGATTAAGTTCACGATATTGCAGTTGTGATTTAAAAAAAAAAAAAACAATCTTTCAACATAATGGTAGAAAAATTATGAAATTTCGGCTCTAATCATTTCGATCCTTCCTCGACCTCATTTGTAACGAAATAAATTGTGTACCAGCATGCTGGTAAGTTATATGTTTCGGGCCTGATGGTCAAGTGATTGTACCATGGAGCCAGCAACCTGGTGTCGTATATTTCCCCTTTTATACAAAAAGGTTTTTGGTTGGATAAAATATTTTCTTTTTTCCAGAGTTCATTGTTTTTCTATACCATTAATTATTGCAAATGTTTGCGTGTATACTTATATATGTATATGTACAAAAAAATTTAGCTACCATTTTTAGCCACAACGACATTTTTTAGCTCCTTTTTAGCCCTTTTTTAAAGGAATTTGGCTACCACTAAAAATTATTCGCGGCAACACTGTTGTCGAGTGTTGCTATGACTTGTGTTGCTGTGGTTTATTGCATCGCTGGTTGCTTTGATGCCGGGTATTTGTGTGGGCCAAATTCGTCAGGGATATTTGGTCCTCACACAACATATAAGTAAGTAAAGGGCTGCCGCCGTTTATTTTCAAATATCGAATAATGCGGGGCAAAGGCAAGACGCTTGAAAAAAATCAGTCCATTTTGAGGTTTTTATATTTTGAAAAACTACGCAGGACAGACCTTTGAATAACAGTACGGCCCTGCAAAAACAGGACGGATGGTCACCGTAAGTATTATATAACCTTATAATATCATTGTACACAGGAATCAATAAAGTTTTAATATTCATGAGATTTTTGAATAGCAGTAATGAGATAATTTCCACTTTCAGTGTTTAAATAGTCAGAGAATTACTTACATTCCATTTTAAAATTACTTTTAATTTGGAGTTCACTTCAAAAATTTTAAGTCGAAGTCGGTTTATCTCTTTGCTCCAGGAAGCAACGTCAGCCCTCTTTTTAAATTTTTAAATAAGTTGTAGGCAAGAACCATTCAATTATTCAAATTTATTTAAATCGAAAGATATTTTCGAGATAACTAAAAGAACTCGACAAAAAAACGTCAGACCTTTTTCTAAATAAATTATAATCCATAATATTACCGCAACTGGAACGTAAGGACTCGGCGATATTCCCATAAAGCGATTGCTCTAATGTCTTGCGCATATCAAACATTATCTGAAACATGTCGACTAAAATTAGATTGTTTTCTTGTTACTTTTTAGAATACAGTATAAGGAAGTTCTGACGCTATTTAAATACCTGTTAAAAATCTAAAAGTATATTTTTTACCTATGGCTCAATCTCTTAAAAAAATTGGTTTAGTCCAATACCCAGCCGAGTGCCGTACAATGTAATGATTCCAGTATCTTCATTTATTTATGTATATTGTAACTATCAATATCTTAAATATAAAGAGACGTGTAAACTTTTTTTTATTTAAACTAATAAAGTTAGAAGGACGAAATTCGAGTCCTTGACAAATATTTTTTTCAAACATATATATTGCAAATTTCCGAGGATATTCAAGAATAAATTTTTAAAAGGACATTTTCAATACATATTCGTCCTGGTGCACACAAAAATTAATCCTTTTTTTCTATTTTCCAGAATTTTTCCTTTTAATTGATACCCATATTGTTATTCTACAATGCACCGCATGTTTTGAATACTCTTTTTACTTAATCATATTCTAGAAAATTCTAAGTCCTTTTAAAAAAACGTCCTGATGTCAGAGAGAAAAACTATAAACGCAGCTTTACTATACTTGGCGCCCAGTTTTGTGAATATATTGATTTTTTCGTGTGTAAAATTGTCGCACGGTGTTTTCATATAAAAATTTAAGAGTACCGATAATTTCTTTATAATCCAATGATCGGATCTAAACCAAATTAGTATGGGACTACCTCTGGCTTTGCTTAACGTGGCCCAAAGTTATGCGGTAAAATACATAAAACAAAGAAAAATATACCGGCGAATTGATAACCTCCTCCTTTTTTTGAAGTTAGTTAAAAATACGTGGAGAAAAATTACCGAGTTACCGAGTATCAAGCTCGGTGGGAAGCCCCTATTACAAATTTGAAATCTCATAATTGAAAATTCAATACAAATTTTGAAAAATCAGGATATTAGCGTACTGATTGAAGAACTGAATAAAATCAGTACGAGATTTGAAAAATAAGTACTGTACTTATAAAATCAGTTCGTCAAAGACCCAAAAGGATTTTTTTAGAAACTGCAAACTTATACTTTACTATATTGAAATACCACAGGCTACAAAACTTCATAATCCAAATCCTTTCTAAAATCTTATTAGAAACTTGAGAGTTTTATTTTCAAAAATTTATTGAATCTTCCTCAGCACTGCACAAAGTTAAGAAATTTTATTTTTATTTTTATTACTGAGGTTCGAACTATATTTTTATAAAAAATATCGAAAAATTCTCTGTAAGTAGACTTTTTTGGTTCACTGCAAACATTCATAAATGTATGTGAATAAAACTTTAAATGTGTACCTACATATTTATTTAAAAATCAAAAATTCATTTATTAAAAGACAGTTCAATTTGGGTATGATTTTCATTTCAAATCAATATGTTTCAAATGTAATTTTATCGTCAGCCTCACGCAAGTATTACACAAATATCGTGTTAATTATACATAAGTATCATATCAATAATACATGAGTACATATCAATAATACGTGGTAATCGCGATAATTTTACGTGTTTCATGTACATACATAAATTTCACGTAAAATTGATAATGTCGAAATGGTAAAATTAACATTTCCTTATTTCAGCTGAAAATTGCAAACAAAAACTGTTAATTTGACGGCGGTTTTCAGTATAGGCCGCACTTCTTGTCATTTGGGAGATCAGAAGATCTCCCCTCAAGTTCAAACATCATAAATACAAGTCGTGAGTACGGAATTTTGAAGAAAAAAATATAGTGATATTCGAAAGAATACTAATGTACATTGTTGGAAAATAAAACAATAAAATTCCTTATTTTGAATAATTACATACCTTTTTTTGTTTGCTTCCTGCATAATTAAAAGCGTTTATCGGAGTGGTTCTTTGATCTATTTTTTTCGGAGGTATGTACAAGCTTTCTGTCCGTTTTGGAGACATTGGTGATGGAATAATATCTTGGCCCAGTGATTGTTGATGCAAAACAACATCTTCAAATGGCTGTTTGGCTAACCGTGAAATTTGTTCTTCCGCGAGACTCAACTGTGAATTAGGGTTTGTTTGAGTTATGGCTGATCGAGGAAAGGTATCCCTTGAGTAGGAACCTTCTCCATTTGGTGTTAATAGGTCTCTTATTTGCAATGGTATACATTTATCTACTGAAGCTTTCCGAGAACCTGCACTTTCATTAACACGACTAGCAGCTCGGGTATATCGATCTATTGATGAGTCTCGACTTGGAGGCCTTTTATAGTGGTCAAAGTAATCAATAGAAAGTTTTTGATTCATTTCATGAAGTGATGGCGGTCTAGTTTGTTTTTCCGTTGCTCCTAATACATCTTGATGTTGTGATGGATCGCGCGAGAAAAGATAATTTTTGTCAGGAAAGGTGTGCGTAGGTATTTGTGGTGAAATAGCTTGGAAATGTTGTTGGTTAAAAAGAGTTTGTAAATTTGTCTGTTCACCATCAAAAGTATGGTAAGTATAGTCGTCGGTTTTATTTGCATTGGCAGAGTAGTTATTACTGTAATGATTGTTCCTGTTATTTTTTAGAGTTGTTTCACCTGGTTCCATTCTATTGCCATGTGCCAAATTGTTATTTTCCGCTAAGTCACTCATTACCGTATTATTCTTTCTGCTGAGCTGACTTACTTGTGTGCTATCTTGATATTGCTTTAATCGTTGCTCATTTTTTTTATCTTGTAAAGAATACATCGAATCTAAAGCATTACTGCCAGAATAGCTTTGTTGGTTAACTAAATTTACAAAGTCTGTTTGAGGTGTTATATGGGGTCTTTGTGATTGCATCGAATTCTGCAAGTGTATTTTAGATTCTATTCGTTTATTGAGATCAGATTCACGCATTTCCTGTAAAGTAGACGCATTTTTATGGCGCTCTACAAGATTTCCGCTATAAGAGGATGGGTTGTTGTTTTTTGTTGAGGGAGTAAACTTAAGTTCATTACGATAGCGCAACTTTTCAAATCGTTCTAAAACTGATGGCTTAAAATCTGGGGCGAATTCTCGTGCAATTCTAACTGCGATTTCACAGTCGATACGAGCCTGATCAGCTGCAACGTCGGCGTTTTGAGCTCTGTCAGTTGCAGTAGAAGTACGAGAAATGGCAATATCAGATCGCTGCATTGCCATTTTTAAAGCTCTTTGTGCCGAATTAACTGCTATGGTGATGCGGTCTCTAAATTTCCGTGATCTCGCTAGGAATAAATGTTTCTTTTTTTGGCTGGTAATTAAAATGTTATTTTTGTATTTCCCCTCTTCAAATGAACCGTCACGGAATGTAGTCACACCATATCCATGTTTCTTGTTGTTATACCACTCACCTTCATACCTGTAATAGAATAACGGATTCAGAACATAGTCAACATTGAGTTATCACGTATAGAGACAACTAGCCTTATTCTCTAACCTCATACGTTAATGTTGGTTTTCATTAGGACAAAATCACTGACACCAAAACTGCCTTCAGCTGACAGCTGTTCATTTGGTGTCAAAGGCGTTTTCATTACATTTCAAAATCTGACCAAATGTCGATACCGCAGTGCATGTCAAAGACTGTGATCAAATTTCGGTGAGAGATGATTGACATTCCGTTTTCATTACTGATGTCAAATGTGAAGTTAAATTTTTACAAAAATTGTAGAATACCGACCATTTAACTAAACACAAACCAAAAATGTAACTGGACAGAACTCTTCATGCTGATTTCAACCTTACTAAAATTATTTAGCGCAAGTAAAAAATCACGAAAATATAGGAGGTTAAGCTAAAATTTTCGATATTTTGAAATATCAATATCTTATGAACTACATAACCGATTAAATAACTAATGATGTCAAAATAAAGATGATAGGTGTATCTTTCAGTTGATGAAAATTGCATAGTTAATGCTACATAAATTTGTATTATTTAGAAAGTACAAGTTAAGTACTACCTTATATAGAAAAGTTTATTATAAGTGGAAGCTTGTTCGCTTCCTTATCCTGGGGGATGGTGGCTCCGGATGATGATTAAAAGCAGGCGGTGATATGATACGCCGACAATGCCGTGTTAAAACTTCGGCGATGGTGGTGTATATCGTGGCGTGGAAGTATCCTCGCGCTTCAATGGCTCCGCGCTGGCCCTGGATTCTCCGCACCAGTTCAACGTCCAATTTTTAAGCGAGACACTAGTGGCGCTTAATTGGCGGCTATCACAAGACGCCGGGTTGAGGTTGCACTTTGTATCGCGGTAATTTGTGTGAAAACTATTACGACCGACTACGACTGCGATTGCCGACGAACTTGATATAATTCGCGTGACGCCAAATAAAAAAAAGAAACACGAGAGGAACTTGATATTGTTAAGTGGTGCTTTTTCACTTATGCTAAATTAACGGAGCGTACCTGTAACCGTGGAGCTTTGGTGCTCCGCCGGCCAACGCTCGCTTTGGTGGAGCCCTAGCGCTCCCTCGGTGCTGCCGTAATAGGCAGTGCTACTGCCTTGGCTATTTGCTGGCGCTGCAGCTCTGCTGCGGTATTTCACGATGAGCCCTGGTGCTCCGCCGGCTCTTTTGCCGGCCAACGCTGGTAGCCAGCAATTCGCCAAGAAATGTTCCTTTTAAAATTAATACGTCTTCACATTTTGAATTGCGCGTAATGAGTGACGCTGATTTATTTTTCAAGTTCAATCTTAAACCTAGCTGCTATTGTTCAATACAACAGAGTTGCATATTTCAATATCGTAAATTTATATTTGTAATAGGGCGAATTCATATTAGGTAATTTGTAGGGTTGCATCACCCTCCTTTGGAAAAAGAAGAATTTGGCAAAGTGATCAAGTTTGCCATATTCTTCTTGCCCAAAATTTATAATTAGAATTAAATTAAATTAAATAAAGGAACGAATTTGGATTTGATTGAGGAATATTCCTCCCCCTTATATTCGATCGTTCATAGCAATTTAAGTTATTGTAAATATTTAAATAAAAGCTATTGTATTTACTTAATTAATATGACTTATTTTTATTAATATTTGTTAAATTGGCAAAGTATAGTATTTTAAAATAAAGATAAGTATGCTATTGATAAGTAACTATGACTTATGAGTTTATTTAATATACATAAATATGTTTTTAATTGGATATGAAAAAATGGAAATTCAAGTTTCTTTTATCTATATATATATATACATAGTATTTGTTGAAAGATTTTTAAAGTTTGATTTTAACAATGCATGAAAAATGCTTTTTGGTTTAACAATCTAATTCATATTTTTGTGAAAAATTCTTAATATACATTTTTATGGAAAAATATATTATGAATACTTATAAAAGTTTCTTTTGTTTGTTTTTTTTTCTTTAGAGCTAGATTTCATAATTTGTACATTTCAGATTTTTGGTATATTTTTTGTAAAATTTTTTTTGTAATAAAAGAAAAATTAAAAATAATTATACATACGTATTTACATATATAAGAAACTTTGTTTTATTTTATTTTATGGATTCTATTTTTGTGTACTGTTTTTTCTTTTTTTCTGCTTTTGTCGAAAATGGTTACGTTGACTCCGTCAATATTTGCTATGACGTATGGATCTTCATATATATTTGTATGTTTATCGCGTGGTTCTTTTTGAACTAAGACCGTATCATTTAAATTAACTATTAACGGACGCGCGGTCTTGTTATATACCGTTTGGTTCCAGTTTTATGTTTGTTAATAAGTTCTTTTGCAAGCGCGTGTGATTTTTGCATTCTGTATTTGATTTCTTTCGAATAATTATCAATGTTATATATCAGATAAATTTTTATATCTTGTAATTCGGTTGGTAAAGTTACTTTTCTACCGAATACTAATTCAAATGGTGACAGTTTGTTATCAAATACACAACTTGTAGTTGTATTGTGCAAAAATGTGAAGTATTCCAAATAAACTTCCCAATCGGACCCAGTTTCATTTAAATACCCGCGTAAATATTCATTAAAGACACGGTTGTTTCGTTCAACAGTACCAACGGTTTCATGGTGATGTGCTGTCGAGAAATTGTGCTGGATTTTTAAAAGTTTGGTTAATTCGGAAAAAAGTTCATTTTTAAATTTGGTGCCCAAATCGGATTTTATAGTGTTCATAATGCCGTATGTTAAAACAAAGCTTTCAAAAATTGCAGAAGCTACTGTTTTTGCGCTTTTATCCGGTGTGGCTATTGTTACTAAATATTTGCTGAAGTCGCATATAATGGTTACAGCGAACCTATTGCCATTAATGGACTCAGGCAAGGGTCCTATTGTGTCTATTACTACAACATCAAAGGGTTTGCAAGGCGTTCGGGTTAGTACTAAATTTTCTTTAGTTTTAGGTTTTACTTTATTTAATAAACATTTCTCACAGTATATAGTTCAATAGTATTTTGTACGTAATTTTGCATAGCGTTTTTTGTTTCCGTAATGTCCGCCTGATATCGGGTCGTTATGGTAAATTGTCATGAGTTTAAGTTTCTTGTCGTCTTCAGTTATTGTTTCCACAGGGTCTGTTAGTATAATTTGTAAAGATTTTAAAACTTTGTTTCCAATAATTTTTAAGTCTGTAATCGAAAATTGTTCAAAGAATGAATCATTTTTTTGCCATTCAATTTCTTTAATGTTGTGATTGCCGGCTTGGTGTTGAAGCCTCAAAAGTAGCTCATCTAAATTCGCTATTTTGTTAACAACCTCAAAATTAATTAACTCGAGTTTTCTATGTTTTAAATGCGCATATATCTTAATACTTGAAATTTTATCATTTTTATCGTAAGTAATTTTGGTTTTTATCCGTGGATTTTCTTTTGAAAAATTGTAAGAAAATTTGTCGTAAACTTGTACTGTGGAGTTATTTGTGTGATTTTCTTCGTACTGTGGTTGCATTTCTACGTTTTGTTTTGTCATCGATCTAGTTTTTACTGCTAAAATACGTTTTGTTGTGTCTTTAAGTTCGTCAATTCTGATTCGTGATAGTGCATCCGCACCAACGTTTGTTTTGCCGTTTATGTATTGTATTGAAAAATTGTATTCCGAAAGTTCCAGTCTTATTCGCGAGAGTTTTGATGACGGGTCTTTCATATTAAAAAGGTAAACTAATGGTCGGTGATCAGATTTTACAGTAAAGTGTGAGCCATAAACGTATGGTCGAAATTGCTTGATTGCGAAACATATTGCTAGAAGTTCGAGTTCGATAATTGCCTTTTTTTGTTCTGCTTTATTGAAAGCCTTAGAAGCAAAACAAATTGGTAAGTCGTTGCCGTTGTGGTTTTGGCTTAAAATTGCACCGCATCCGGTTTTAGATGCGTCGACTGTAATTATGAATTGTTTGATAAAGTCAGGATACTGTAAAAGTTTAGAAGACATTAAAGAAGATTTAAGGTTTTCAAAAGCTTGTTCACAGGAGTTATCACATTTAAATTCTACATTTTTCCTGCTCAAACGATTTAAGGGTGCTGCCAGAGAAGCAAGGACAGGTATAAATCTTCTATAATAGTTTGCAAATGCCACGAATCTTCGCACCTTTATCGTTGGCTTTGTGTACTTTTTAATGGCTTTTATTTTTGTATCATCTGGCAGTAAACCTCTTGCTGAGCACTTGTGTCCTAAGAAAGTTATCTCAGATCGTAGAAAGTTACATTTATTTGGGTTAAGTGGCAAGTTGAACTTTCTGCAAGTTTCGAACACTTTTTCTAGATTTTTGAAATGGTGTGCGTCACTGCATCTGATAACTATTACATCGTCGACATACATAAAAGCTTGATTAGGTGAAATACCGGAAAATGCTATAGACACCATTCTTGAAAACGAGTTAGGTGCTACATTAAGGCCAAAAGGCAAGACCTTCCAACGGAAAGATCCGCGATCAGTGCTAAACGATGTAATATCTCTATATTTTTTATGTAATGGAATTTGGTGAAAACCAGAATACTGATCCAGAGTCGAAAAATATTTTGCTCTTCCAAGGTTATCTAAAATGTCGTCTATACGTGCTAACGGGAATTTGTCTGCAAGTAGTCTTTTGTTTACTGCTCTAAAGCCTACGCACATACGGTACGATTTTTGACCTATTGGATCTTTTTCGGCACTAAAATTAAAGGACTGTTATAGTTGGAGTAGCTTTCCTCGATCAAATTGTTTCGCAATAAATTATCGACTTGTTTGTTTATTTCTTCGCGTTGTGAATATGGCAATCTGTAGTTTTTTATGTAAACTGGAGTTTTGTCTGTCAGTCTCAATTTTTGTTCGTAAAAGTTGTTCAGAGTCATAAGGTCGGATTTTAAGGCAAATACGTCGGAATATTTTGAGCAAAGATCAAACAATTTATTTTTACCATAATGGGGTACTTGTTTTTCTAAAATCGATTTGAGTTCTTCTATGCGTTTCGGATCAGATCGGATTCGTTAATTTTATAAACGTTGAAGTTTGTTATATCTTCGGTTTGAATATAGAAATTTCTTACGTATTTTACTTCATCAGTAGTGTTTATTAGTTTTAGTTCGGGTTTTTCGTGTCAACGATACATTTCGCTGTAAAAACACCACTACAAACTTCCTGGGCGTCTACAAAAACGGGGTTTTTGGATTTACCCAAATTAAATAACCGAAAAACTTCGGATCTAGGTGGAATTACTAAGGTGTCGGTAGTAGTACCGTGAAAAATTGAAACGCTGATCCTTTCTGTCCCCAAACCAATGGTTGTGCTATCGTTTGCATTGTTGACTATACATTTGTTTATTTTTAAAAAGTCTTTTCCGAGTATGCCGTCCGAAGGAATGTTAAAGCTGTCATTTACAAGGTGAAGAGTGTGCGAAATGAAAATGTCTGATACTACCAAATTTGTATGTATTGTGCCCAAGGTTTGGACCGTTTCTGTTGTTACGCCCGTCATATTAATAATGTTATTGCTGTTTATTGCCGACTTGCTTGTTAGGCTGGAACATTTTATAAGGGAAATGTCTGCTTGAGAGTCTACTAAAAAAGTGCATTGTTTGTGAGAATCACTACAATTTATTTCAATGAAATCGGAATAGTTGAGATTTAGGCAGTAAATGGATTTTTCTTCTGTAAAAGTGGTTAATTGTTCAAGTCTAGCTCCCCCAGTGTTCGCGCCTGAGGGGCCTCGGCGTTTAAAGTCCGAACATTGGCAGAATTTCGTGTTTTTGAACGCGTATGGATTGCTATATCTACTGCTTGAAGCCTGACTGTTGTTACTATTATTGTAGTTATTTCGTCTATTACTAAAACTATTGTTCCTATTCTGATTGTTGTTTCGATAGCTAGTACTACCGCTGTACCTATTTGAATTGCCGTTAAACCTGAAATTGTTATTGTGCTATCTGTAATTATTGCTGCCTCTATAACTTCCTCGAGAATTAGCTGTTCGTATGGGACGTGACCTAAAAGCCAACACCTGCCGCTCTTTTACTATATTGTCGTGCTCCACAATCATTTTCGCTACAACATCTTTCGAGTCACTGAAGGTTGACGATGCTAGTATCGACTTTACCATATCTGAACGGCTGTTGAGCCTACAAACATTTATTGTTTGCTCGACTGCCAACTCGTGAGCTTTCGCTTGTGTCATCCCTTCAATAATAAGTGAACGCTCCAGAGCATCTGCGAGCTCTTCTACCTGTTTCGCAAAATCTGAATAATTGTTGTTATGCACTTTTAAAGCTGCAATCTTACCAGCGACAACTTTCGAGTCATCTGGCTTTATTTTGCTAGACAGCGCTTCTTTAATTTGGCTAACTGAGCTTATTTGCGTTGGTAGGGACTCGCGAGCTTTACCTTCAAGTTTGGATTTCAAAAATGCAATAAATGTTGTAGTGAGGCTTTCGTCTGACAATTCTTCAATACGGGCAATTTTATCAATAAAAGAGGCAAGTGATAGCGGGTCACCACTATAATTTTCCCCTATAATCGAGGCGCATAAACTTATAAATGATTTATTTTGCTCAGGTGTAGCCAATTTTGCGTTGTTATTTTGAAAGAAGTTAATATTTGGTGAGCTAGTGGTTACGTAAGGAGGATCGTCAAATCCCAAAAAATCTTCGAGAAAAGACAAAGAACGACTCTTTTTAATACTATAAACTCCAAGGGTGCCAGTTGAACGTGCGTCAGCAAATTCTTCGTCGGAATCTGCGTCCGAATACAAAACGTTTTCTGTAATTAATTCGTCAAAATCTTTTGGTACTTTAACTTTGCAACCAATTTTACAAAAACACTTAAGTAGGTTTTCTCTACACCGCGATAAACTTTCAATTAATGACTTTGGCTTAACCCTTTGTTTGAAGTGCGAATTTACTAGTATTAAAATGATGTTATAACTTTTTATTAAAGATTCTTTATATTCCTCCAGCTTGTCCTCTTTTGTTGAGATAGGACGACTCTGTAACACACGTCTTGTAACTTTTGCAAAATCAGTGCGCAAATCTTTAAATGCAGTATCAAAATCTGGCATTTGAAAAACCCGGCATGAATGTTAAAGACTATAGGCACAGTAAAATTTCCACAATTGGCGTTCAATCGGCATTAACCTTTGTTTTTTAAAAAAAGTTGTAAACGTGGCAATCTGATAGTACGGCCTGATTTATAAGAAAAACATGTATCGATGAATTTGATTTTATATAAGATTAAAAAAAAAAGTTTACAGCACTCACTCGGCGAAGCACAGAAAAAAATGGTTTTCTGATAATATAAAAGTTTTGAAATAAATGTTTTGAAAAAGTTTTCGCTAACCACTTTGCAAGACACTGTTTATTAAAAATTTAAAAATTGTAATTTAATTTTAAGAAAAGTTGCGTGACAATATTTTACACGCTAGTGTAATTCAAAAATGTAACTGCCCGTCTCCACAGGATAAAGTTTATATCTTGATACATATGTCAGAATATAATTTGCCAATAGAGACCGCTCATTGCTCTTCGAGAGCAATATATATCAGAGCTTATATCTTGCCATCTATTGCCGGCAATTTGGTAGTTTGACAGCTAAATTTTCATTTGCACGAAAACTTCGTGGCTACAACATCATTATTATTTTAATATAAAAGCAAAAATTGAGCTGCTTCCTGTTAAAATATTTGTAATTATGTATTTGGATATAAACTAGCCTATTTTCTAAATTTTTAAAGCGATTAAATCCGGCAAAAATACGTTTTCGAAGCTATCTTACAAATGCTTATATCAAGATATAAAAAGCCCACACAAATATTGCCACTGATATATCTTATATCTAGCGACCAAAATGACAGCTGGGCAGCAATAAATTTTATCCTGTGGAGACGGCCAGTAAGTAAAATCATGTATGAAGGTCAGAAAACTTTAAGTTATAAAACACTTGAAAAGGAAAGTTGGTTTGATACCAATAATTTGCACGCGACTGTAGTTCAGAAATTCAGTAACACAAGTATGTACATATGTATATGATAAAGTATATATATTCACAATTTTAATTATGGAACTGTATGATAGTAAGCATGTACATAAGTATATATAAGGAAAAATTTTTTTTTGTTGTATTCAAATTTAGTGTACAGTTGTATTTAATTTAAAAACGTTTAGGTAAAGTGTAAAGTACATATGTATGTATGTTCATACCATCAGGTCCCACGAAGTCACGTTCCTGCGTACCGTTGCTCGTATTAGTTGCCATGTAGATCTGTGTTGCCAAGTGAAGATGTGTTGTCCTGGTTGTAGCTGTTGTTGTTTGTTTCCACGCTGCCATCGCACCCTGCTCAGCGATATATATATATATATGTTAATGTTCGTTATTATGTGTGAGTTGCTAGGTGGCGTGGTGTTACTGTTCAATGCCAACGGTATACATATGTATATTTTGTAACGGGGTTGCGGTTTTTGGCATTTTCAGTGGCGTGGTTTTTATTCGCTGTTAGGAAACGGGTGTATACTTTTTCGTCGAAGTGGTACAGTCACGCATTAAAATTTATGTTCTTTGCGGTTTTTTCCGACTTTTATTCTCACGTTAGTTTATATGTATTAAACGCTTTCACCTCTTTTTTTTGCTGTGCCACTGTTACTGTTTTTTTTTCCACCACAAAATACCACTTTCGCCACTAGCAACTTCACTCGTTGGTTTTCGCATATAATTTTCCACTTACATATGTGTTTCAAAGTCCCGTGTTTTTGTTTCTAAAAATTTGGTACCACCGCTTTTTTTGTTTTTTTTTTTTGGGTTGAACAGTTAAGTTTGGTTTTTACGCCATTGTTGTTTGAATAGTTTATAAAATTTTGGAACCACCGCTGTTTTTTGCAGTTTTTTTTTCTTTTTAATTTTTTTGTAATAACTTTTTTTGTTTTAAGTCATTTTTGTAATTTTGTAAATTTTCCACCACCAGTTATTTAATAGTTCATTTTGCACGTTTAGTTTGTAACATTGTTTTTGTTGTTTGTCAGTTTCCTTAAGATTTGTGAATTACAACCACCAGTGACTTTATAAAACATTTTTATTTTTTTATTTTTGTTTTTTGCTTTAAATTAAACTAATTTTTTTTTTATTTACTTATTTTTTTTACAAGGAGTGCACATTTTTATTTGTATATTTTATTCGCCCATTTTGTAGGCTGGTGTACGGTCGCCATGTTAAGTGGTGCTTTTTCACTTATGTTAAATTAACGGAGCGTACCTGTACCCGTGGAGCTTTGGTGCTCCGCCGGCGCCACTGCCGGCCAACGCTCGCTTTGGTGGATCCCTAGCGCTCCCTCGGTGCTGCCGTAATAGACAGTGCTGCTGCCTTGGCTATTTGCTAGCGCTGCAGCTCTGCTGCGGTATTTCACGCGGAGCCCTGGTGCTCCGCCGGCTCTGTTGCCGGCCAACACTGGTAGCCAGCAATTCGCCAAGACATGTTCCTTTAAAAATTAATATGTCTTCACGTTTTGAACTGCGCGTAATGAGTGACGCTGATTTATTTTTCAAGTTCAATCTTAAACCTAGCTGCTATTGTTCAATACAACAGAGTTGCATTTTTTAACATCGTAAATTTATATTTGCAATAGGGCGAATTCATATTAGGTAATTTGTAGGGTTGCATAACAATATTTTGTATATTCGGTTTGTTAAAATTCAAGAACAAAACTTAAATTTTGCGTTTTTTACAGTAGGTTACTTCTGCTTTTGGGTATATAGAATTTGCGAGTGATAATGCAGCAAAAAAATTAAATGTCAAAAAGCATATGTATATATAGGTATTAAAAAGTAGCGAGCAAACAACGACTGCGTTGCCACCCGCAAGGACTCTTATCATTACATAGCGTTTGGACTATCGATATTATGTTGCAAATTCAATACAATCGTATACTAAAGTTGCTCCCGTTTGCATAAATATAAATTCACGTTAAGTTAATATAAAAATTCATTCAATATATAATTCAATAATTGAGTGATGTAAAAGTTAATTGATATCAAGCGTCCGTAGTGCTCGCTTGCACATTCTGCCGGCTCTAGCCGCGTTAAGCGGATAGTGCTTCTTTCAATTCCTGGAGCGTTCTGAGCGCCTTATGAACTAGCAATTTGGTGACCTTGCCTCGATATTTTGCGGTTTGCAGTCCCTCCGCCGTGTGTCGGGTTTTACGGTTCGCCACGGTCGTGATCTTTGGGGGGTGCTTGTTGCGAGCTGGGGTGCGCCCTGATCCCCCACGTTGAGAGGCATGTCGCATCGGCGGCACAAGTCGTTTGGGGTTCTGCGACGCGGCGTGCGAGCTAGCGCGGTGACCTGCCGAGGTACTGTTGCAAAAGGGTAGCGAGCAACCTCTACATTTACCCGCGAGATAGCGCCAGGAAATTTGTACAAAAGTGGTGCGCCCTTGCCAACAAAAAGCGTTGCTGCGGCTGCATGTCTACAAACACAGGGCATCTTCGTAGTGAATGGTGACGGGTGCACAAACGGCATCGTTGGTAGTCGTCGGAAGTGTTTGAAGATTGGTCGTCTTGCGAAGCAGGTGCTATGACCACCTTTGCCCTAATGGAAGTCCGCGGCGATGGTTTGCCGTCACCAGAAACGCAAAATAACGTAACATCATCGTCACTGAAATGCAAAATGTCGTAACTTATAAAAAATTCAAAATTCGCTTTTTGATTGTTATAATGGATTTCATCGAATTACAACTTCCCACATCGTTTTATGAAAAAAAAAATAATCACGACTTTTTACAAAGCTCTAGTTTTTTATTTATTTATGTTGAAAAGGGAAAGAAAAAAAATCTTTACGTTTGAATGCTTCCAATTGAAAATACTTGAAATTAATTTCAAATGCCTGCAATTATTTAAAAAAACTATTCATAAACATTTTTCCATAGGAAACATTTAATTAAAAAATATTTTTAATTTGCCATCTATACTGATATATATTTTGAAAGCCGTTTTTTTCTAATCGAAAAACTCGAGAACGGCTGTACCGATATTTTTGAAATTTTGAACCTCGACTCTAGACCCTCAAAGGATGATAATAGATGAAGAACAATTTCGATATATCTAGGGGCGTGGCACCTCCCATACAAACTAAAGTTTCCACACAACATATCTCTGGAAGTATTCATCGTAGAGTGCTGCAACTTAGTATAGAGATATATAATATCAACGCCAAACTCATGGAAAAATGGAAATTATTGAAAAACGGGGCGTGGAGCCTCCCATACAAACTGAATTGCTCACATTAAAAAGGTTATGTGGTGTGACAAATTCAGTTTGTATGGGAGGTGCCACGCCCCCTTTTTACAACGCTTTTATCAACTTGCAATGTTGTGGCTCCAGAAACTTTCAATGTTGTGGATCCAGAAATTTTCAATGTTGTGTGTCCGACACCATAAAACCTTTGCTTTGCAAAGTTCCTATAAAAAAGT